AATGCAAACAATTAAAATAAAAAATAATAAAAATCAACATCCTAATGGAAAAAATGCGCCAAGCAGCAGAGAAACCAAGAGGAATAAAACAAATAAGACGAAGAAAAATTGGTAAAAAATGAAAAAATATGACAATCAAGGCTGACGTCATATAGCCAGCCTTGAATTGTCATAAAAATGCAGGACTTTTTCTATTGCGAAAGCAAGGACAAATGTCAAAGATGCTTTTTCTGTACCCCAAAAGTCCTGTCCCGGTCCAGAAAAATACAAGAATAAATAGTAAAAAATGTAATAAAATGCAATTTAAATTACAGAAGCATATAACCGTAGAATAAAAAAATTATAAATGGAAAGTAGGAAAGAAAACTTACTAGTCAAATGCAAAATAAAATATGTTTTAAATACGAAAGGTTATACATTCATTAGAATAAAACCGGGTAATTACAAAAGGAAAGACAGAAACTTACTTTGTATAACAAGAATCACAATTACTGAAAATTCACATACGACTACCAAAACATAAGTGCAATAGACAGTAAATGAAAACAACTCCCCCAAAAGTGCGCGGTTAAAAATAAAGACAGCAGTAAAGAAAGTAGTAACGTCATAAAACGAAAAAACTTGAAAGTGAAGAATTTGGAAAATGGAGTTTTAACCGTTGAAAAAAAATATTAATAATTCTTAATCATATTCTTAATATTAAAATCAATATTGCAAAAATTAAAAGGAAAACCATTATTTTCTAAATTTTTTAGAAAGTTATTAATAGCATCTTGAAAACTTGAAACATTATTACAGATTTTTTTAATTCTAAACAATTGAGAAAAAAATTAAATTTTTGAAAATTTCACTGCATGACGTCAGCCTTGATTGCCATATTTTTTCATTTTTTACTAATTTTTCTTCGTCTCATCTATGCAGTTTATGTTATTAATGGTTTCAAGAAACCAAGAAAATGACAACACAAAAGCCTACTCACCATGAACAATTTTTTGAAATAGATTTTGAAACAGAAAATTGGTTCTTTATTCATGCAAAAAACATGTTCATATAGGAGGGTATCCAATCAATCTATTAACAGAAGATATTGATTGCTGGCTCTATCTATTTTGGTTATAAACCACTAAATAAAAGTAGCCAGGAAAATGACAGATTTTCTTGGGACAAACAAATTATTGACAGAAAAAATTTATTGAAACGAAGTTTTTGTAAATAATACCCTCTGCGTATATTTTAGAAATGCTTACACTGGTTGAGATAAAAAAAATTAGATATTGAAAAATTTATAGGAAGTATTGAAGCTAGTTATTATTGAAGACATTGTTTGGGACATGCCAGGAAAATGACATTTTGAAGTTCTATAAAATTTTTTAACTATACAAAACAGTTAATGCTAGTGCAAAGTCATTTTAAAATGCTAAGAGCAATGTTATTTATAATTTTTTTTTTGAAAAAAAGTTCTTTTAGTATTATAGTATTAGATCTTGGAGCAAGGGACAGTGAATTGTCATATTTCGTGAGAATCACCCATATATGTCCGGTAAGACCAGTCATCAATATCAATAACATGTGAGGGCTATGTCATCAGATTAGTATTCCTATATATATCTGTACTTATTATTTTATATGAAAGCTTTCAATACGAGTTTCTATGATACAAAATAATTTAAAATCAACAGTAGGTGGACTGAAAAACAGAAATAAAACTACTACTGCACAAAAGAGCGAAATAAATGGAGAAAACTGAAGTGGCTATCATGAGCGATGATCAATGGCATCATTTTTGTAACGAATAACGCGAACTATATTTCATCTTATTTTGATATGCTGAACTTCTGAAATGTGCTTCGCTTAATCTAGGGAATCGGAATCATGCAATCACAAGGAAGCTGGTAATCACAGAGAAGGGTAACAGATAATAATAATTAAATTAAATGGCAGATGGAGTTATTTGAACTAGTAATTGTGTCAGTTAAAATTTATGAGTATTCGTGTGTTTTTTTTTTTTCAGTTGAGTTCATGATCTAGTAGTGTTGATATGTACAGATTTAGTTACTTTAATTTTTCTCCATTCGAGGAACGGGCATTCAGCTAGTTATGTAAATTTATTAATGTATTTTAAAATTTGATGAAACATGATATTTGAAACCATGATATTTCACTTTATATTAAAAAATCGTAAATGAAGCTGCCACTGTTACAGCTGTTATGGGTATTAATCTTTGCATTACGTTTTGTTTTACTTCGCAAAAACTATAAAACTTAGATGCATAAGCTTATGCAGGAAATAAAATAAAATAAACGAAAATCAACAAAATGCAGTTAATTCAACTATTAACAACTGATAAAGTAAGTTTTTAATAATTTAAAATGAAGAAAGTATCCTGCAAATTTTAACAAATTCATAAATGCCAAGTATCTAACTCATTAAAAAACCGGAGAAAGCTTGGAAAAAAACAGAGTTTTCAGTTCTGTAACCTGCGTATTGGACACCACAGTACGAAAATCAAAGTTTTCCGTCTTTTTATGGGAATTCTTACGAAATAATTGGTTTTGTAAGAAACAGGTTTAGAAATTGTCAATTTATACCTTCTTCCACACCACTCTTCATTTAAGATGCAACACTTGAATTTATGGATTAATAAAATATTTATAATCAGTTCAACCAATGTTGATTACAAATGAATATCATTTTCATTTTTCACCTTTGCAAAGTCATGACGTAAAAAACCCCATTATTGCAATCAAACTGTCAGTTATCTGTTGTTTTCTATTTATTATCAGTCTTTGAAATGGGTCATTCTTTTACCTAATCGAATATTTAGCATTTCATTTCATATTTTTCATATTAGATCTCAATGCAAAGTGAAAGTGCTTCTTTGCCTAACCTGACAAATGCATCAGGTCTTGTTTTAACTATCCGTCAGCCATGGCATAATGAATTAAGTCTACATCATATTATTCCAGGTAAAAATTAAGTTTACTAACTCCTTATTCTAAGAGTTAAGCTTCACTCAATAAACAAGGAGTACTTACTTTTTTTACTACTATATAACTACTTTTTTTACTTCAACTATATACTATTTTTATAAATTGTTTTTTTTTTCATGTCCCTTACTCCTGTCTTAAAATCTTTCAAAATCTTACAGTAAAAGAAAATTATTATTCAAATTTAAGATTGTTTGAACTTTGTTTTTGTTTTACGGTGTCGTCAATGGAAGCTATTACTGTGTTTAAGATAGACAGATAGTGTCTGCCGTTACAAAATGGCGTGAAACTATCTGTGATTTCGCAACAACTTATAATGTCAAAAGAAGTGCAACAAGGATATATAAAGCGTACTTAACCGTTAGTTTTTTGCATAAATTTAATATTCAAAATCCAATATTTTGAATTTCAGTGAAAAAAGTCATTATTGTAGTCCAATAGATTGGTTTTACAGTTGTAAGGATTTTCCTTTTTAAATATTTTTTGTTAATTTTGAATGAGAGTTACTAAAAAAGTGAATATTTTGGATATTTAGTGCAGTTTTCTATTTGAAGTAATATGTGTCACTTTGGGCAATGTTATGCCCCCTACTTGCTTCGCTCACCGACACTCACTCTTACTTCTCAATCATTCTGCCTTCTTAAGTAAGATCGTTAAGCATATTGTCGAGTTAAAAGTATTATGTATTATTCTACTTTTTAAAAATATTTGCCTTATTTTATTAATAATACTCTTACGTAAGTGAAAGTTTTCGGATTAATTAATAATTTGGATTAATTATTAAAAAACAATTTTAATTTATTCTTAAATTCTCTAGTTAATTATGGAAAAATGCTACATTAAAATCCTTTAATACTGAAGGTGCTTTTAATGCTACATAAAAATGCATTAATACTGAAGGTGCTTTTATAAAAAGCTTTGCTGTTGTTATTGTGTGTAAAAAAAGTACTATTTTTGAATAACGTGTATTTTAGAAGAAAAAAAACTATTAATCCTATTATCTGAAATTTTATGTTTTTCAAATTTTTCCATTTTTTTCTAAGAATTTTTATGAGAAATTTCAATGCAAAGTAATAAACATACATTAGTCATCTCAAATAGGTACTTTAAGAACATAAAGGCACTTCCAACTTATAAACTTTTTGCTCGATTGATTCGCTTATAATCTCATTCAATTCAAAGTGAAAAATTCAATGAAAATAATTCTTCACTTGTTTAGATATCAATATCATATGTGTAAATTAGTGCAATTAAAAATTTTTACTTTTCATATATAAAAAACTTTTATAAATTCTAAACTTTTAGTCCGATCACTTCGGTGTGAGAAAATACATCAGCGTGACAATTAACTACAAAAAAATACAACAGAAGCAAATTTTTCTGTCTAGGATAATTTCAATTCTCCCCATCATATCACCCCCACTTAACTCGAAAAAAGGAAAAGTTTACAGAGAGGAGCTTTCAGATACCATTTATAATAACATAATAAAGCTTTTTAAATATTTATTTAATACTCATCACAAAACATCAAATAAAGAAAATAAAATTATCCCATGCGCAAATCGAACACCAATTGTCTCATTCTTGGATGTGTAGTCCCTATTTCTTGGCAGATGGGACATTAACAAAGAGGCGATTTAACTAGTATATAAACATAAAATAATGATTAGTGTCGTGATTTATTCACTTCGCAAAAAGTATTGTCACTTGTTAATTGCCTGTTTCTCTAAAAAAAATTTACAAAATTGCAAAAAAATATAATTAAAATAAAATTAAAAGCAGGGTTTTAATAATCTAAAATGAAGAACGTATCCTGTAAATTTTAATAAATTCATAAATGTCAAATATCTAACTCATTGAAAAACAGTTGTCAGAAGCGTTTTTTGCTGCTTAACCTGCTTATTTCAAACCACAGAAAACAAATCAAGGATCTATTGCTTTTCAATTTAAATTGTGATAAGATAATTGATTTTGTAGGAAATTGGCTTAGAAATTGTCACTTTGTACGTTCTTCCCCACCAGTCTTCATTTAAGACTTAACACTTAAATGAGCAGATTAATGAAATATTTATAATCAGTTCAACCAATGTTGATTACAAAAGAATGTCATTTTTATTTTTTACCTTTGCAAAGGTTTGACGTAAATAACCACATCAATGCAATAAAACTGTCTGTTATCTGTTGTTTTCCATTCATTATCAGTCCATGAAATATATCATTCTTTTACCTAATCCAACATTTAGCATTACACTTCATATTTTTCTTATTGGATCTCAATGCATAGTGAAAGTGCTTCTTTGTCTAATTTGAAAAATGCATCATGTCTTGTTCTTACTGTTCATCAGCCATGTCATAATGAAATAAATCTGCATCGTATTATTCCAGGTAAAAATTAAGTTTTCTATAAATTGCCAAAACCTTATTCTAAAAGTTGCGCTTCGTTCAATAAACTCAGAGGCTAAATCACATTTTTTTTTCATATTCCTTACTCTTTTTTTAAAATCTTTCAAATCCTTTATGCAAAAGAAAACTATTATACATATTTAAGATTATTTGAACTTTGTTTTTATTTAATGGTGTCATCAATGATAACTATTACTTTGCTTAAGATAGACAGATAGTGTCTGCCGTTGCAAAATGGCGTGGAACTATCTGTGATTTCGAAACAATTTAAAATGTCAAAAGAAGTGTAATAAGAATGTATGAAGTATTGGTTGGTTGGTTCTAACGCCACTTGCCACACAGGGAAGTCTGCTTGGTGAAACCGCACAGATTTAAGGCAGAGTGTGCTATTCTTGTTTTTCAGTGGCGCCATCTATGGCCATGAATTCGACTTCTGGCACATCATATGTCACACCTGTTCATACGGACCCATTCATACATCCATTCACTCATCCACAGATCGTAATTTTGACCTGGATCAGAGAACGATCTATCTCCAATCCAGTACTCCCAGAGGTATTGATTTGTTACGGGAACATGGAAGACTTTGGTACTCGACAGAATTTTAACGTGCATCACTCACCAACTACAAGAGGAGTCTTTGGCCGGTGGTGTTCGAACCCACGAACACTCGGACATGGGCCCAGAGCCCTACCGAAAAGGCTATCCCGGCCTTGTATAAAGTGCATTTAAACGTTACTGTTTTTACATAAATTTAATATCCAAAATAATCTAATTGCATGAATTTCAATGAAAAAATCATTGTTGTTGTCCAGTAGATTGGTTATACAGTTGAAAGGATTTTTCTTTTCAAATGTCTTTTTTTGTCAATTTTGAATGATATCTATTAAAGAAGTGACTATTTTTGATATTTTGTGCATGCCGTTTTCTATTTGATGCTATATATGCCACTTTGGGCAATGTTATGTCAGCTACTCGCTTCGCTCACCGACACTCACTCTTACTTCTCAATCATTTTGGCTTCTTAAGCAGGACTGTTAAGCAGATTGTCCCTTTAAAAGTATTATGTATTATTCTTTTGTTTAAAGATATTTGCCTTATTTCATTAATAATATTCTTATTTAAGCCAAAGTTTCCAGACTAATTAATAATATGGATTAATTACTGAAAAACTATTTATACTTATTTCTTAATAAGTCAAAAAATTATGGAAAGAAAGGGTGTTATATAATATTACTGAAGGAACTTTAAAAAAAAAAGCTTTGTTGTGGTTATTATTAAAATTTTCACCTGAAATTGTACCTTTTCATGCTCAAAGCAAAGTAAAAGACATACATAAGTCATGTCAAATATAGTACTGTAATTACATAAAGGCACTTTCAATTTTAAACTATTTTTTCGATTGATTCGTGTAAAGTCTTTTTCAATTCAACGTGAAAAAATATATCGAAAGCAATGCTTCTCTTGTTTTTATCAGTATCAAATTCGTAAATATGCAGTATTACAAATTTTTATTTATTGTATATAAATATCCTTTATATCTTCTAAAATAGTAGTCCGATCGGTAGTAGTTTTACTGTCTAGGAGAATTTCAATTCTCTCCCTCTTATCACCCCCACTTAACTCAAAAAAGGGTAAAGTTTACAGAGAGGATTTTTCAGATATCATTTATAATAACATAATAAAGTTTTTAAAATATTTATTTAATACTCATCTCAAAGAGACAGATTAAAAAAATTAAAGTTATCCCATGTGCAAATTGAACACCAATTGTCGTATAGTTAGATGTGTAGTCCCTATTACTTGGCAGCTGCGCCATTAAAAAAGAGAAAATATAACTAGTGTATAAATTGTCATACTAAATGTTTCAAATACTTTTTTCTCGAAATTCACTGGCATCTTCTTCTTTCGAAGCACTACAGCCTGTTATATAGCAAGGCCTTCCAGTGAAAATTCCGCCATCTGATCTCATCTGCAGATATTATAACAGGAAAATCTTGCTCCACTAATTCAAGCCATCAAACTGGTGATCTTCCTCGTTTTCTGACTCCATGAGTTAAATACAAGTGAGTATTTATACTAGATTTGTATTATCATATTGGATCTAATGCATTTTATTACTTTAACAAAATCAGTTTACTCGAACTTTTGGAAAAATTAAACAAGGATTTCCAACTATTATTTTCATAGACGCTAGAAATATTTTCTTAAGAGTTCCCGTTAGAAGATCGATAAATTATTTTCATGTAATGTGGTAATTGACCAGTATTCACTCCCCTGACTGATTAGTGCGCTTTATTCTTTTTAGGGATAGTACGCTTTATTGAACCAGAAAGTTATGTTACTGTTTCTATTGCCACTTGCAAATACCAGCTGGCCTGGTTGGTGAACCAAGCGAATTTAAGTCAAAGGGTGCGTTTCTTTATTTTTCAGTAGCTCCATATATGGTCAAGAATCCGACTTCAACCACACACACGTCACCGCCCGTTTCATAGGGTGGTTATGATAAATATTTAATGTTTCATACAAAATATATATTGGAGATAGTAGGAGAAATTGCTTCAACGGTTTAAGTATATTTTAAAAGAAAAATCATTTTAACGAGAAACATTTTCCTGATTTACGGTATTTACGATTAGAATAAAGTGCACTGAGAGAATAAGTATGGTTTAAACTACCAGAATATGACAAAGTCAACCGTGTTTCCTTCTGTTCTAAGGGAACACCAAGAAACTCAGTAATTTAAACCGAAGCGCTACAGTAATGATTTTGAAAAATTATGTGTAGTTAAAATTATTTAGTATTATTTAGATAACCAGTATTATTTAGTATTATTAATTTAGTATTTAGTTAATTAATTATTAAGTTAAAAAATTATATTTACTTTATAAATTTATGTAGTTAAATTTACTCTTCAGTTTTGTTTTTTTATGCTAATAAATCAGAATTTCCTGAAAAATTTACTAATGAATATTTTAAATACCGTATATTTTGATTTTATTAATAAGAAATATATAAATTTTTTTTTACCAGAAATATCATTATAATACTAAACGAAAACCTAACCAGAATTTTGCTCTCAAATAAATTCGCTAAGATTGTTGCAATTTTTTTAAAAAAAAACCATAAAAAAGTTTCTAGATAAATCGTATATAAATCCCGTGTACTGCCGTGCAAAATAAAAATCAACCTATTGGCAAAAATTTCAATATTGAGATTAATATTTTCCAATTTTTAGAATATATTGCAAAAAAAAAAAACACTTTTTTTTTTAAATTAATTTTTTTAGCAGTTTTCTGAAATTCTATTACAGCTTTGATAGTTCATGTACAAGTTCTAGTTCAAGATATTTCTAGTTTAATGAAAGTGCAGTAGTTGTTAAGCCACTCAATCACTAAGCAATTACATTGTTCTTTTTAACAATAGAGCACAAAGGCATATTTGTAAAAAAAAGTTGTATCTTTATATTTATTAGTAAATTAAAGTTGGTTTTGATAATAATAAACGGTTATTTTTTAGGTAAGCATTGAGTTCTGAAGTGAAATAACTTACTTGGACTTATTAAAGAAGGCAATAAAGCTTAAAAAGAGTTTTTTCAATGCAAGAGATGATTTAAGTCCAGACAAAAAAAATGGCCTTTCCCTACTGTGAAAAATTAAAAGTAACTCATTTAGAATTAAGTAACAAAAATTTCAAATCGACAATTCTATCACACATAAATAACAGTCATGCCAGGTCAATTCTCCTTGATAGATGTATTTATCCTAGTGATTATCAGTTAGCAGAATTCTCATCAAGAGTTTATAAAGAAGGAGAATATTTAGAATCATTAGAACAAGGTTGGGATTTATTGACAACTGGAAAAAACCAAGAAGACGGTTATTTTGGAGCAGCATACTGGAATCCCGATCACCAACAAGTTGTAATTGCACACAAAGGCACAAATCCCAAGAGCGTGAATGATCTTTGGACTGATTATGAGGGTATTTTATCGAATGAATACACTTCTCAAATGAGCTCTGCGGTTTCTTTTGCCGATAATATTGCGGTTGAACTGGAAAAACTCAATCAAAAACAATCTGTTAATTTGACTCTGTCAATTACTGGACATTCTTTGGGAGCATGGCTTGGACAAATCACAGCTTTTTCTACTAAATATCTAACTAAAGGCGAGGGTCACTTTTTTGTAAAGAGCAGAAAAGAAGGTTTTCACGTGCATACAGTAGTCTTTGATAGTCCTGGTTGCAGAGACATGTTGTTGAAAATGGAAAGTGACTTTGATGTACGCTACAGCGGTAAAGCCCACTCATCTTTTTTCTTGGATGTCTCAATTTACCTATCCGCACCAAATTTGGTAAATACTCTTCACTCACATCTTAACGTTGGTCATTTATATCGGTTGTTTATTGAAAATATAGCCCACAGATCATCTAGTTGGGATTTTTTTCAATACACAATGGAAACTCACAATATGAACAGCATTAAAAAGGCATTAATATGCAGTTCGGCAAAAAAGATAATGAAGGTCATAGACTGGCCATTAGTAAAAGAAGGATTAGGTGGAATTATTGTTAAAAAAATATTTAATATATTTACAACAAATCCCAACGAATATGAACATTTTCATGAATTAGCTCATTGTATCAACCTTTATAATCCACCTCCAAATGGTAACGAATATTGTACTCTTCGTTATCAAGTGCAAAGTATAGAAAAAGGAGAATGTAGTGCTAATATTTTCACACAATCGGAGTTTGAATTTTTGAATGGTTGTCACAGGTTAAAGCAATTTTCGATGCTTTCCGTCGCAGATCATTTATTTCTTTTGCTAGTTGAAAAATCCAAAGGAGTGATAAGTAAGGACAAAATTGAAGAAATTCTGCAAGATCTTACAATAAAAGAGGGAATAGGGCTAGGAATTATTAAGCACAATTCGGAAAAACAATTGCAAAAATTAATTATTTGTGTCAAAAACATTTTGTTTATTTTTCCAGACATACATAGGGAGATAAGTAAATTAAAAAATTTAGCAGTTTTTGAAGAAGTATATAAAAAACAGACTTTTAATTATCTTAAATCGATTCAGTATATTGAACTAAAGAAGGCAACGATGGAGTATACAGATTTTTTAAATAACGCTGACTTGAAGTTTTTGCAAATAATATGTAAGGTGCATCCTGTATTTGGAATCAAAAAACTACATAAGCTTCTAATGGAGAATAAACTTAACTATGAAGCTAGTAAAAGCTTTTTTCTAAGTCTGAAGCAACTTTTAAATTTAGAGCAGTTTTTTGCTTTGAATGAATTTGTAAAACAATTAGATAAAAACGCTCCTCTGTTACTTGTTGTTGAAAGTAATAACGATCTCTGGAAAGAAGATAAGAAAATATTAATTAACAATTTTATAAAAATATTAAATATTTTGAAAGATAAACAGAAATTTAAGTTTATTTTATTTTCTGGAGAGAAGAATGATTTAGAATATTTCTTAGGAAATAATGATGAATTTTATTATGAAATGGTCGATAACACAAGTTTAGAGTTTCATGATTTAACGGAAGATTCTCAAAAAATACTTTCTAATAAGACAATGTATTTCCAAGGTGAAAAGACAACTTTAAATACATTAATAACCGAGGAGTCAAAACATGTAGTAGATGAAAGATCATTATCGAAACTCATGAACAAAGAAACGATAGAAATAGGCAAAAAACTCTTAAATTTAGGTGATATGGAAACCTACTACATCAATCGAATTTTCAATCAGTCTACAATTAAGAAAGATATTAAAAATGATTATAAAATACATATAACCTATAACGATAAAATTCAAAAATCCAGCCTTAATCGAGAGCAAGACATTGTGTTGATTTCTGACGAAAGAGCAGGTTTTGATGAACTGTGTAAGGTATTTGAAAATCGAAATATTCATTGGCTGAAAGAAGTAGATAACCAATTTGTCTGGCAAAAATCTCGAGGTGCTCTATCAATATTACGTGATTATATAGATACAGAAAATGTAACTGAATTTCGTGACATAGATGGACGTATAGTAATTATAAGTGCAGTATCTGGTGCGGGAAAATCAACGGTTCTGACTAAACTAGCACAAGAGATGAAAAACTTTGATTCTTCTCTGTGGGTTGTCAGAATTAACTTGAATGACTATACAGAAATATTTGCAAATAATGACTTCATTAAAGACAAGGACAAAATTTTTAAATTTCTAATGAACATAGCTGGCTTAAACACACCTCTGGAGCAAGATTTATTTAAGTATAGACTGAATGTTTTAGGTAAAGTCGCTATATTATTAGATGGATTTGATGAGATCGTTCCTAGATACAAAGAGAAAGTTGTTGAACTACTAAAAGCTGTAAAACATTCAAAAGTAGAGAAACTCTGGATAACTTCACGGCCACACATGAAAGATGAACTAGAAGATGTATTAAGTGTACTTTCATTTAGTCTAATGCCACTGTCTAGAAACGATCAGGTGATGTTCATGAAAAACATGTTGTGTAATATTCAGAAATTTAGCATCAAAGAGAACTTTGAGCTTTACGCTAACAAACTACTAGACAAAGTGCTACAGTCCATCTCCGATAAAAATAAGGAATTTACAGGAATACCATTACAAACAAAGATGCTGATTGAAGCTTTTCAAGAAAAAATTAAAACTTTTTATGATCAGTTCAACAAAAACGAATCAAATATATCCATAAAACTAGATCTTATGAACTTATATAGAGCCTTTGTTGAAAGTAAGTACAAAAGGCATCTTTTAGAAAAACAGATATTGAATCTATCGAAATCAGGTCCAGAGTATGACACGTTATTCGCATCCTTCGAGAAAAAATATTCCTTGTTAGCATTGTGTATACTTTTCCATGAAGAAGATTTAAATCAGTTTTTGATAGAAGAAGAATTGGAGACGATAAAATTACTCAAGAGACAGATACAAGAAGGTAAAGAAAATTCAGGTTTCATTAGTCATATTGTTGCTGCCAAACCAATATTCATTCACTTCAGTTTTGCTGAATATTTTGCTGCACATTTTTACTCGAAGAACATAAAAAGAAAAGAAGTAACTAAATTTTTTTGCCATCAGGTTTATGGAAAAGAACATAACTTAACTAGGATCTTTTTCGATCAAATGGTAACTGCCGATAAGCATACCTGTAAGATGCACATTGCAATTTTAAACAATGATATAGAAAAAGTAAAACAATTATTATCAAATGCAGAAAAAGCAAAAGATTTCGTTAATGCTGCAGATAAAGTAGGAAGAACAGCACTGCACTTAGCTGCTGCATATGGAAATTTTTATATGGTTAAGACTTTGTTGAATCACGAATTTAGAGTAGATGCTAAGGATCAACTACTTGGTTGGAGGCCTTTAAGATATGCTGATAAAGACGGTCATTGGGAAACTGTTGAATTACTCTTAAGAAAGGGTGCGAATGCACGTGACATGTGTGAAGCAATAAAAAGCCTTGTAATTTACGATGCTCAGAAACCAAAAGTGACTTTATTACATGAGGCGGCAGCTAAAGGTTTAGTAACGATTTTAGAGACTCTCATAGAAAGTAAAATAAATTTGATCAATGTTGTTGATGAAAGTGGGTGGTCTCCTCTTCATTATGCTGCAGATGAAAAAGTTGCCAATTTTTTAATAAAATTTGGAGCCGATATTGAAGCCAAAGATTGGTCTGGAGAAGCACCTTTGCAATTGGCTCTGAGGCGAGGAAATATTGAGGTTGCCGAGCTTTTAATTGCAAAAGGTGCTAATATAAATGCTAAAGAAAACACAGGTATTACACCTCTGCACACCGCTGTTATAAATGGAAAAGAGGAGGTTGTCGAGTTTTTAATAAAAGAAGGTGCTGATGTTGAAGCTAGGAATTTCAATGATATAACACCTCTGTATTTTTCTGAAAGCAAAAAAATTTCAGAGCTTTTAATTGCAAAAGGTGCTGATATAAATGCTAAAGATAGCGATGGTTGTACACCTCTGCACGCTGCTGTTGAGCAGGGAAAGTATGAGGTTGTCGAGCTTTTACTAAAAAAAGGTGCTGATGTTGAAGCTAAAAAATTTAATGATATAACACCTCTGTTTTTAGCTGATAGCATAAAAATTTCAGAGCTTTTAATTGCAAAGGGCGCTGATGTAAATGTTAAAAGTAGCATAGGTTATACACCTCTGCATGCTGCTGCTGTGAATGGAAAAGATGAGGTTGTCGAGCTTTTAATAAAAAAGGGTGCTGATGTTGAAGCTAACGATTCTGATGATTTAACACCTCTGTTTTTTGCTGGTAGCAAAAAAATTTCAGAGCTTTTAATTGCAAAAGGAGCTGATATAAATGCCAAAAGTAGTGAAGGTTTTACACCTCTGCACGCTGCTGTTAAAAATGGAATAGATGAAGTAGTCGAGCTTTTAATTGTAAAAGGCGCTGATATAAATGCTAAAAATAACGCAGGTATTACACCTCTACACTCCGCTGTTATAAATGGAAAAGAGGAGGTTGTCGAGCTTTTAATAAAAGAAGGTGCTGATGTTGAAGCTAGGGATTTCGATGATATAACACCTCTGCATTTTGCTGGTAGAAAAAAAATTTCAGAGCTCTTAGTTGCAGAAGGAGCTGATATAAATGCTAAAGATAGCGAAGGTTGTACACCTCTGCACGCTGCTGCTGAAAACGGAAAAGATGAGGTTGTCGAGCTTTTAATAAAAGAAGGTGCTGATGTTGAAGCTAAAAATTCGAATGATATAACACCTCTGTTTTTAGCTGGTAGCAAAAAAATTTCAGAGCGTTTAATTGCAAAAGGCGCTGATGTAAATGCTAAATGTGTGAGCGGTTATACACCTCTTCATGCTGCTGTAGAAAATGGAAGAGATGAAGTTGTTGAGCTTTTAATAAAAGAAAGTGCTGATGTTGAAGCTAAAAATTCGAATGATGTAACACCTCTGTTTTTAGCTAGTAGCAAAAAAATTACAGAGCTTTTAATTGCAAAGGGCGCTGATGTAAATGCTAAATGTATGAGTGGTTATACACCTCTTCATGCTGCTGTTACAAATGGAAAAGATGAGGTTGTCGAGCTTTTAATAAAAGAAGGTGCTGATGTAAATGCTAAAAATTTGGAGGATGAAACACCCCTGTTTTTAGCTGGCAGCAAACAAATTTCTGAGCTTTTAATTACAAAAGGCGCTGATATAAATGCTAAAAGTAGCAAAGGTGGTACACCTCTGCACACTGCTACTCTGAATGAAAGATATGAGGTTGTCGAGCTTTTAATAAAAGCAGGTGCTGATATTGAAGCTAAAGATTCTGATGGTGAAACACCTCTGTTTGCAGCCGAAAGCAAAAACATTTTAGAGCTTTTAGTTGCAAAGGGCGCTGATGTAAATGCTAAATGTATGAGTGGTTATACACCTCTTCATGCTGCTGTTGAAAATGGAAAAGATGAGGTTGTCGAGCTTTTAATAAAAGAAGGTGCTGATGTTGAAGCTAAAAATACTGATGATCTAACACCTCTGTTTTTTGCTAGTAGCAAAAAAATTTCAGAGCTATTAATTGCAAACGGCGCTGATATAAATGCTAAAAGTAGTGAAGGTTATACACCTCTGCACGCCGCTGTTGTGATTGGAAAAGATGAGGTTGTCGAGCTTTTAATAAAAGAAGGTGCTGATGTAAATGCTAAAAATTTGGAGGATGAAACACCCCTGTTTTTTGCTGACAACAAACAAATTTCTGAGCTTTTAATTGCAAAAGGCGCTTATATAAATGCTAAAAGTAGTGAAGGTTATACACCTCTGCACGCCGCTGTTGTGAATGGAAAAGATGAGGTTGTCGAGCTTTTAATAAAACAAGGTGCTGATATTGAAGCTAAAGATTGTGATGATGAAACACCTCTGTTTACAGCCGAAAGCAAAAGCATTTCAGAGCTCCTAATTGCAAAAGGAGCTGATATAAATGCCAAAAATAGCGATGGTTATACACCTTTGCACAGAGCTGTTATGAACAATAATGTGGAGTTTGTTGAGCTTTTAGTAAAGGAAGGTGCGAATGTCAGTGATAAAGATAACCTTGGTAGAACACCTTTATTTTATGCTAATAGTAAAACGGTACTCGAGTTCATAATTGCAAATGGTGCCGATAAAGTTACGGGTATACACATCTAAATCTCATGAATAAAAAGCATGAAATTGTCTTGCCTTCTATAGAAAAATGAGCTTAAAGTGAAGATCAAAATAGGTAGAATGATACAACAAAGCAAAATACTGCTGAATATGGTTTCCATGAGTAAATTGGTTAATACTTCATAAGAGCATATACCTCTTAAATTCCTTACACAGATGTGAAGGCCAGAAAAGATAACTTTGAGGCTATTACTCGAGGAGCTGATCTTGGGAATTAACTTTTCAACTCTTCTTTATCAATCTTTATTTTTATAAATTTAAACGGATCTTGCCAACATCAAAAATTTCATCTTCTGCACAGTTTTAGACACGATTCTTCATTTTCTATTTTATTTGGCTTTTGGTTAAAAAAATGATTAAATTTGAACTGATTAGAGACTTGTCAGCAAATTTTCTATGACAGTGCCCTATGAAATAAAAAAACTGTTATGCCTTAAATATCTCAAAGTTTTAATGTTGAATGTTAAATTAATTTGGACTATTGTACTCAAACTTTGCTGTAACTGAAGGTTTTAAAAAGCTGTGTATATTTTTCACAATTTTATTAAACTCATGAAATTGTTCTTGTTGCCCTTAAATACTTAGATCAAAACACTTCTCTGCATCATACAACTACTAATAGGATTAAAAACATTTTGGATCATTTCGTATAATATTTTGTAATAATGTAATAGACCGAAGCTTAACTGGAAATTTAGTAGACAAGCTATGCAATGCACGTTTAAAGATATTTATTACTCCTACGCTTATTTTTGGTATCTTCTTAAACTGCGTTAATTTCTTCTGAGTCTAAATGCTGCCAAATCAGTAAAACTTTTAATTTAAATATCATTCAATTGCAGAATTGCGTCAAATGTTGAAGATGAATAATGTCTCAAATTAATTTTTTTCTAACCATAAAAATAAAAATCATACAAATTGTGAATAATATTTAGTGTGCATTAAATTGTGATTATTTTCGATGTCAGTAAAACAAAAAGCATTGAAAATTTATATTTTTTTCTGTAATAAATGAATACTATGAAATTTTTTATATTGAAGAAAAGAACTTCGAATAAAACAGAAAATATAAAACAGAATCCAGTATTTTGAAAAAATAAATATTAAATATTATGCATTTGAATTTTTTTTAAAGAAAAATATGTTTTAAATATTTAATTATCAAATGAACAATAATAGTTTAACTTGCCCTCAAAAATTAAGTAGAAAAATGTGCTTGATATTTTAATTTTTTTCTTTTTACATATTCGTTTTACAGAGTAACTATTAATTATTAATATGTTATTTTAAAAGAAAATAATGTAATCTTTTAATATTATAAAATGTTTACTAGTAAACATTGGCGCTTACTTTCGAAACAAAATTATTTTACTCGACTGTTCCTTTTTTTTAAGATTTTCATTCGTCAAAGACATTTTAAAAAACTATGATATTTAAGTAATATAATAATTAAATTGGCAAATCAAAATCGCGTTTCAAAGTATCAATTCTTTTAATCCCCTTGAATATTAGAAAAATGATAAAATTGCGTTGTTTTATTTCAAGTGATAATTGTTTTCGAGTAATTTAAATTGATTCGACTCTAGTTACGTTAAGTGACTCTGCAACAAATTTAAATTGGGAAAATTGCTTAACATATCAGCACTCAATTGACAAAAATCATATTAAAATATTCATATTGAAAATATTCACATTAAGAACATAACAAAACACAAAAATTATCGTGTTGCTTCCAGATAATGATGATGTGCTCAAATTCATATCCTTTTACCTTGGAACGAAGAACTAAACAATAGATTCCGTGGTTTCATGTTGTTATTCATTCATGTTAATACATTATTAATGATGTTTTTTTAATTATATCTAATGTTATTATTTATGTATAATCTTATTATTTAAGTATATTGTTATTATTAATGTTTAATGTCATTATTTATGTTTAATGTTATTATTTACGTATAATGTTATTATTTATGTATAATGTTGTATTATTTATGTATAATGTTATATTATTCATGTTATTTATTCACATTAAATACGAACTTGTTTCTATTATGCGAGGGTTTAGCGTTTCTAAGTTTCAAATGAAATTCTTTAAGTTTTAAAAAGCACAAAGTTATAAATTCCTTTAAGAAAGGAAAGAAAGACAAAAACCTGTGTAAGTTGATAATTAGCTATTCAATTTGTAGAGAGGGATGAGTCATTGTTTTTTCTGTTTTTTATAACAAAACTTAATACATTATTTCCTTCTCGCTTTTGAAATATAATTCCTGGTTTATTTATGACCAATAAATATATAGCAAAATTTGATAATTAATTTTTTAACACGGCTCCATTTTTTTATTCAGTAATTATCTAGAAGAAATGAATTACCTTAATGTATTCAATTTTTAACATAAATGTGATATTTAACTGTGTATTTTAAAAATAAGACCTGCACACTTTGTTGTTATACCTACCATTGAAGGAGTGAATCGAAAATAATGACATTGAATTAAAGTTTAGACATATGAAGAATTTAGTGGAAGAACCATGCACGTGACATTTTCAGAGTCGCTATAATCAAGGCAAGAAGAAAAAAAGTGATTTCCGATTTATTTTATCATCGAGTTTTTAGCCGGCGAGTGTCTTAATTATTTGTGCTATTTCATTTACCGCTACTTATTTAAAATGAATATTATAGAAGCACACTCAAAACTTATGTGGATTAGTAGCGTTAAAATTAAAGGGAAAGCAAAAACAATTCTGGCGCATTAAACATTAAACATATTCAAGCAACCACTTATTATATCATTTTCATCAATTAATAAATGTCCCTATAATGTCATTTATCTATTTCTACACTGCAAAAAATTCCGAATTAAATTGCGGTATAAAATACCTGCAGTCAGATTTCCGGTACTGTTTACGGTGAAAACCCTATTCAGCGGAATTTGCTGAACAAAAATTCTGATATACCGTAATTTTTATAGTGATAATAACCGTGAATTCACTGAATCACTCTAAATAAATAAATATAACAGTAAAAATTAAGGTAAAATATTTTAGGGTAAAAAGGGATTTTACGGATAATACACACAAAGTGCCGGAATTTGACCCGGAATTTTTTACAGTTTATCACTAAGCTCTTTATATATGATAAGATATTACGACCTTGTTTGATAAGATTTTACAGTACGATTTGATCCAGAATATTACACGTTCTATGTTATTAGACATACACAATTCTACTGTGTCTTACTATTGAAACATCAATTGCGAATATTCTGCTTTGTTATGAATTCAGTTGTCTAGCATTTCCGAAGTGATTTAAAACTATTCCTTTAAAGCGATAGATAATAAATTACGGAACACAAAAGTCTAAAAACTGCCTAAGTATTTAATATGAAAGAAAAATTCAGTTAAATTGGATAAAAGTAATCATTTACCAAACATAAATTTGTTCATGATATTTTTCTTCAGACATTTTGCAATATTAATCGTTCTGACTGTATTTTAAGTGTTTGAATTGATTTGTATTTTGAGTTGATAAATTAGTGGTAATTCATTGCATCTAGAATTTAAATTTTAAAAAATTTCTTTTTCACTCCTGCCTTAAATGCGTAGAGTACCTAAACACAGTATCTAAAAGCATTATATTTTGTGCTTAGACATCGAGAAAGATTCTTGTTTACAGAACCGAAACTATAGTAGGTCCATTTATATACCTTGATTTGTGCTTCATTCACGTTGGTTCGCTTTATTGTTACGTTGCACAAAGTATACCCTACACTGTAAACAATTTCAGAAAAATTACGATATAAAGTACTAGCACTTTTAGTGCCTCATCCCTAAAATTCATTTTACCGTAAAATTCTTTATATCGTAAAATTCATTTGTACAGTAATATTTATTTGATTAGAGTTATTCAATGATTTTAAGGTTTTATGATCATGATTTTATGATTTTGAATTATAACTGTAAAAATTACTGTATATCAGAATTTTTGTTCAGTAATATATCCCAGTAAAAATGTATTTTACGGTAAAGAGCACCAGCACTTTTTTTAACGAAATTTGATCCGAATTTTTTACAGTGTAAGCTCATTTGTGTCATGAAAATTATGCAACAAAGATGCAGCAATTACACATAATTATATGCATAGTTTGTGGTTGACTATAAGACAATTAAAACAGAAGAAAAAAAAATTTATGAAAGTATAATTTTCTGTTTCCTGTTTCAATTTCTAAATTTTCTGTTAGATTTTCATTAAGCTACTTGAGTAAGTTGAAATAAAATTAGTCAAAATAAATTGATAAAGAGAAACCTATAAAATCCGTAAAGATAAATTTATCTGATAAATGTATAATACAAAAATAATACAATTAAAATCGTATAATTTTAGTTTTAAATTCGTGATTTTAATATCTCTATGGAAACAAGCAAACTGTTATCTGATTTGGTATAGTTATCAGCCTTTAACCTTTTTTTGTCTTTATCTTATCGAACATTAAGCATTCCATTCTATAATTGTTCTATAATTCTATAATTGTCTGCTCGCATCTTAAAGACAGAGATCTAATTTAACATCATCCAGGTATAAAAATTTAATTTTGTAATTCATTATAATCAGTATTTTTTTCAAAGATACTTCATTAAGAAGTATATTTTGGATATTTTTAATCTGAAAATTGATATGAATGATATCATTGTCTCATTTTCTTTATTAAGAAATGTGTAGTTACAAAATGGTGCATCACACACATTTGAGATATTCCTTTAAAACATAGAAAGAAACAAAAAAATTTTAAATTTTAGTCAGTCTAATTGCTTGAAAGTAAATTAATGTAATTAATATATATTTTTCTCATGTGTCACCACTTGTAGAATTTCAGTATCTATTGGCCGCATTATAGTTATCATTCATAAAAAATTCAATTAGTGTTGTTTTTCATATTTATGTAGTGTTGAGTAGTCAGTAATTCGTTAAAGATTTATTTACAACTCTTTTGTATTTTTATAGAAATGAAATCTTAGATGTGAATATTTAAATTAATTTTTCATCCTTTCTAAAATGAATGTAGAAATTTAAAACATAAACGGTGCTTTGATGCCGAATCCATGCACAATAAAGGGGGCCGAATTTATTATTATTATTATTTTTTTTTTGCATATTTTGTAATCTGACAAACTTGCTACGTAATTATTTTAAATCATTTTTGAAAGATGCCAATAAAAAGGAATTACATTTGAATTCGCTACTCGCTTTATATGTTACATTTTGTGTTTAATTTTGCATTTTTTTTCCCTTGGTATGTTTTATTTTAAATTTTTTACCTAATTCGTTGTATTTTCGTTCCAATGAAGATAATGATATTTATCATCTTCAAGATCTTATTTACAACATTTCTTTTACTAATTTACGCTTCGAAATTCTTTGCTTCGATCTTATGAAAGCCGAAATGAGTAAAATTTCACTGAATACAAAAAAAAATTGGATAACGTTGGATAACAAAACCCTATTTTGATGTGATTAAATTTCATAATTGACAATTTTAAAAAAAAATTCCATAAAAAGACTTTA